GGCATCTGGCATCTGAGTATAGCATCTATAGTTACCTAATGGTTATACGTAATCCCGAGCTTAAGCTAGCACATAGGCCCGTATATAGCTCGCGATTATTTAGATCCGAGGCTTCTTCGAGATCCTCTTCTCTCTTTAGCTTTGAATCGTCGAAATAGAGACAGTCTAACCATGCCTTCCAGGCCCTAGATCTTGTGCTCGTGACAGATTTGCTTACGCGCGTGGCTTTGGCCGGACTGGCACCCATCTTGAATTTTGGATGATGGAGGTTGCAGGATGGATGTGGTTATTGAGTGGTAGAATGAGGATAGCAGAGAAAGGAAGAAATAAGAAGAGTACTCGCTAACAGAAAAGATAGTAGTACAATACTATACGTGGGTTTAAAATTGACTTCCTCTTTGAGTTTGCTTTTAAAGATACATAAAATCCGAGTAACTAGTACTTATTTAGTCCATTTACTAAATAATAAAAAAACAATAATTAATTATATCCAGTGCATTAAATAATTTAAATAATTGTCATTATTAGCTAGTAATTAAATTAAATTAAATTAAATTAAGTCAGAAACCCAATAATTAAATTATTTAAATTAATTATCTAGTCATATAAGCGGATAAAAAAGAGCAAAGAGTTAAGTAATAATATAAGGCTTGGCGGTGTGATGGGGATTTGATTGTTATATGGTTTTCGGACCATATATAGGCGTTTGGATGCGTGGGAGAGGGTAAAGGGGAAGTAATAAACTAAGCACTCAAAAGTAACACTCTCAACAGTAGTAAGAAGTAAAGCAAAGGTCAAAAATAAGGGGCTTCAAAGTATGATGTATTGGGAAGGCTAATCGTACGTATGGACGGAGGTCTTATGCAACCGCTTAAACTAGCGCCAGCATGCCTGGGAAGCAGGACACGTGACGGTAGTCACGGGACAAAAGAGAGAAAACCCCACCACAGCGGCAGCTCTCGAGCTCTATAATGAAGTTCTGCCTATAGTCAAAAAGCTCAATTTTGTCCTCACCTTGAACACCGAGGTGGCTTTTAGGAGAATTGAAACCAAGGATCTCCTCGCGATCCGATACTTGACCGTGGTTTGGGAGGGAGATGACGAGGACTGTGGCCTTTTCTTTGGCAACCCAATTCCCCGTTCCATAGAGGTATTACACGACAAAAACAATCTGCAGGGAATTACCCTTGATCTCAGAAGTTGTAGCCCCTTCGCCCGACCAGCGTCAGTTGCCATACACGTGATTCTCCTTATTAGGTTAGCTTGTTGGAAATTGGTGCCTAAGGCTACCAGTGGCAATTCAGCTATGCAGGGGCATTCAGCTATGCAAGGGTATTTAGCTATGCAGGGCATTCAGCTAAACATGGGTTTTCAGTGGTAATAGGGGCTATTTGGACGTGTATAAGTATAGGCCTTAGATCACTGCAAAATGGACAGTCGTCTGAGAAGCATTGCACGTGACTTTTGCTTTGAAATCTCAACATAGCTTAGCTACAGAGGCATATAAACCCTCCGTTGAACCGCGCATATCTTGTACTTTAGATATCTCAATCTACATCAACGTCACCCTCATATTTAAACCCTAATTACATGCTAAACACTACTTTGTTCATGCAATTGCCATTCCTTTCCGCCCATGGTCTACCCAGACATGGAATGAGGGTGTGACGTCTTTAGTTTTAGGCGCAAATGGTGGTATCAACAAGATTATGGCCGTTTTCGACTTCACTGAACCGAAGTCCAGCGACAGAGGCGATGTAGCCATGCTGTCGCAGATATTCTTCGTTGTGTTGGGAGTTGCTGCGAAAAAGGCCACACCAACGGGTCTTAACCTTCAAGCTTGGGTTTGGGAAAGTAATGGCCTGGAGATGCTGAAGATTGCGAAGGCTTTTTTTCTCATACTATTTATTTTATTTGAGACAGAGAAGGACTTGAGATGCTGAAGAAAAATATTATTATTTTCAGCGTCTAAGTGCGACTACAAATTGACTTTTGCAAACAACTCAGCGCTGTATCAAATTACACGCCAGGTAGGAAGCACGTCTCTGGCAGGCTTTCGTGACTTTTGCACATGGAAATTCCTCGGTATTCGATATGCTCCCAAGTCAGTTCGGTTTGAGCCGTCAATTGTTTATGATGAAGATGTCCAGCATCTGCCGTCACATTCTCTCCCCTCTGTACCCAACCACCCCATGACTTTCTAGGGCCCCTCGACGAAGACTGTCTCTTTCTCAACGTCTGGACACCACCTATCTCTCTAATCTCCGGTGGTGACTAGAAGAGGCTCAAGACAGTCATGGTTTACATGTTTGGAGGTGGTCTGTACTCAGGGTCAAGCGCAAATCCCCACACGGACTGCACAAATCTCGCATCTCGCGGTGATGCAGTATGTAAAACCACCAACTACCGACTGGGAAACTTGGGGTTCCTTGTTATCAATGATGGGATTCACAATGGAACCTATGGACGCTACGATATCATCACTGCACTCAAGCGGATCTCAAGAACGTTCAAGCCTTGAGTGGAGACCCCTCCAGAGTCTCCATTTTCGGCAAAACAGGTGGCTAAAATATCGCCCGTGCGATGCTGGCTTCTCCGATGGCGAAAGGGCTGTTTTCTGCGGCAATAACGCAGTCCCAAGCTGCTGGGATCGATCCAGATGGGCCTTTTCGGACAATACTTCGTCAGCAGTCAATTTCGATCGTTTTACAAAATTGATCTTAAATATGAATGGGTGCACCAATGCTTCAAACGAGTAGCAATATTTGCGGACCTTCGTTGCAGAGGCTTTGGCGACCCGCTGGAGCTGTTGATTACTCGGCGTTGTATTTGAATGCCAATGCCCAGTAATAAGCGAGCCCCTATTCTCAATCCCTCCGTTCGGCTGAATGCCCCGACAGCTTCCCGGTGGTTGACGGCAAACTCCTCGTTTCTGATGGTATAGTTGCTTTACATGAAAACCAAGCTATACGGAGACAATGGCATAAAGCATCGGGAATATAAGGCATTTTGGCTCTTGGTGATCTACAGGGTACAAACTTAGGGCAAGAGCACGCTATAAGGCCCTATAACTCGAAGCAGTGCTCTCTCAATCGACGTAAGGAGAAGTTATAAGATATTCGCAGAGGATAAGTGGATCTTCTAGGGTTATAGCGCTAACATTAGAGTAACTATAGCACTTAGACGTTAAACGAGCAGCTATTATAGGCTATCCTAGCAATGACTCCAATTTAAGTGCAGGGGAGAAGCCCTAAAAAGATGTGGCAGCCCTTGCCGAAGACGCATAGGCCACTTTAAGGGGAAGGGCCTGAAAATATAGGGCCTTATAGCGAGTTTGTTATCTTGTTCTGTATGCTAGGGGGTCTAAAAGTCTCTCAATGCCCTGTATTCCTGATACTTTATGCCGCGATCTCTGTGCCTCAGACGTTCCAGTCACGACAGGAGTCGATCGAGACGAGAACATCATTAATCTCCCAGTCCCTATAACTTAAAATGTTACCGAGTACCTTCAGTAACTTATATCTCTCTTCAAAGTCGATTGGAGATCCCTCCTTGAAGCCTTCGCTCCAGAGCTTCCCAACACAACCGAAGGCACCTTTACCCTAGCAAGTACTTTCGGCACAGCAGCAACACTCAAATGCCTCAATCGAGCACTCGCGTACTCTGCCGCAAAATACAGAGCCTTTTCTTCTATCTACACATTCGAATTGAACCACACCTACAGTCCGTGAGAATACTTCAGCACCAACTGCGACCCTCCTAAGGCTCCATCTCGACCGTTCGGAGACTTAGATAAGGAGTACTATAAATGTCATGTTGGCGAATAGCTCTACGTTTTCGGCATCCCCGGCCGAGGTCTTTCGGATCATACGCCTGATCGTGATGACCGTGATATTCTATTCTCAGCTAATTGTGGATTCTTGGGCGAGTTTCGCAAGAAATCATGATCCGAATCCGGAGAGCGGGGTTCAGAGCACTCTTGAGAGATTGAGGAAGCTGGGGAGCGATGCCTGTTTGGGCGGAAAATCCGACGACGAGGGTTTTGTAGTGGGATGCTGTGCAGATGCCACTGAATGAAATGCATTATTGCAAGCTCTTGGCGTTTCCGTTGACTTATTATGAGACTGCCATTTAGTGCAACACCTGCGAGTACAGAAGTGTGTAAAATGTATAAATACCAGTTGCTGATTATCAGATGCCCTATTTCGGTGTGGTAATGTACGCCTGCCTCTTTCCGCGTAAGTGCCGGAAACACTTCAATCCTTTCCATTTTTAAGGAGAGTTATAATTGATGAAAGAGATAATAATACCCGTACATGATGTGGAATTTCTACCTAAACTCGATAAAGTGATTTCTCAAGGAAGCATTGAACTTTTGAAGTGTTTCGAGCTGAGGAAAGTAAACGCTGTGTTCCTGAATGCCGTGAAGGAAAATGCTATACGCAAACAACTTGACAGCTGGACCCGAAAGACGCCCCCCCCCCCCCCCCTTTTTTTTTCTGTAGCTTTAGCAGAAACTAAAATCGCCAAGGTCAAAAAGAGCGGCAATAAGTTTCAATTTTCAGTTTAAGTCGGACCATTTCACACAGCTCCTCTGTGAAAGTCCTTCCACTGATGGTGAGATTACATTCAGATTTACACCCTCTGACTGTCGACAAGGTTCTGGAACAATTGAATTTCGTCTCATTTCAATTACTATCTTGCCTTGGGACACTAAAAATGGGTGGTGCCGTTTCTGTCCAGCAGCAACGGACTCCTCCAAGCCAATCGTGGCTATGCACGTGTGAATGCCGTCTCATTCGGGAAAGTGGTGGCTGTGCTGCAGGTGCATGTATGCATGCAAATTCCTCAGCCTCGAAAGCAAAACTTGTATCCGAGGCTGCTAGCCCTTCCCTTCCCTTCTCACTACGTTCGTCATTTTTATCTCGACCACGAAGGTCACAGGGTCCCAAGGGAACGAGCCTCCGGCGTCAAGCCGCCAGGAAGATGACTTGCGCAAAATGCGGCTCCTCAATGTCTTCACGATGAAATTGGAGGAATACTTTGGATCTCAAATACCAGGATATGACATTCTATCGCACTGTGTATGATCCCTCTTTTTATGCTCTTGGCGGGTTTTAATTTGGAATATACATGACCTGACGGCACCGTCTTCCAGTGGGGAACAGAAGAGATTACATTTGGAGACATCAACGGATCGACTTGGCGTGAAAAAGATGGAGCCTTAAAAATTGTTAACGCCAGCTTTCAGTGTCGGAGTCGAGCTAATCACCAAAGGAGGTATATCTGGATCGACACCTGTTGCATCGACAAGAGTAGTAGTGCCGAGCTCTCCGAGGCTATCAACTCTATGTATAACTGGTACAAACGGTCAGTTGTCTGCTTTGCCTACCTGGGGGATGTGGACAAGGATGTCGAGGATGAAATAAGGAAGAGCAGATGGTTCACCAGAGGTTGGACGCTCCAAGAGTTGGTCGCCCCTAAAGAAGTCATATTCTTCGACAAGAATTGGAACTACCTTGGAGACAAAAACACTTTATCAACACTTCTTTCTCAAATTACCACAATTCCAGAAGCAGTCCTGGCCAACCCTCCTCGACACAGATCCTGTAGCCTGGCGAGAAAAATGTCTTGGGCAGCCGGTAGAGAAACGACTAGAGAGGAAGACATAGCTTATTGCCTTCTTGGATTATTCGAAGTAAACATGCCTTTGCTTTATGGAGAAGGTGCGAGAGCATTTATCAGGCTGCAGGAAGAGATCATCAAGGAAACGGATGATCAGTCACTCTTTGCTTGGGGCATGTGGGAACGGATTGCTCCGGAGAAACTTGACCTCGGGGCATACCTACCTCCCTCCGGAGCGGGAGTCTTTGCAGCACATCCTGCATATTTTGCGGGTTCTGCAAAGGTTGTCCCCTTTCCAAGTATGTCCGATCGACTGGCGTACTCTATGACGAATAGAGGCCTCCGCATTGAGCTCAATTTGCTCGAAGTTGACCTACCAGAAGGTGGAACAATTACAGCTGCATTACTTGACTGCCACTATGAAAATGATTTCTCGGGCGTCATCGGAATCTTCCTGAGAGAGACAGCTAGTAGTTCCGTCTTCGAAAGATTCTCGAGGATGGGAGGGGCGAAGTTCTTTATTCCGGAGACCGAGAGGGCGAAGATGCGCACAATATACATCACCAAACAGAGTGCGAGAACAATAGCAGTGAAGCCCTGGAAGTGCTTGCTACGGTGGGAGTCATTACAAACTCAAGGGTATGAATTTCTAGCGAGTGTCTCAACCCGCCACTTGAACCCTGAAACCTTGGTCTTCGAACTTGAATCCAAGTTCTGGGACAGTCAAGGAAGGTTTGTGTTTTGCAACTCCGACTGGACCATTTATTTTGCCGTCGTCATCCTGCTTGAGAATCCTTTTGGGGTTTTTCGTAGAGGATTGTTTAAGTCAGTTCAGATTGTGCCGAAACCTCGAGGACTCGGTGTACATGAATGGCTTAAGGGCTGTAATGGTAATAGAGTCATGGACAAAGATCATACATCCCTACCATTGTCCAATTACTTTGGCGGTTCTGCTCCTTTGACTATCAGCGCGAAGGCAACCGAAGAAGAAGCTCTGAACCAAAGAGTTATTGTCCTGGAAATTGGGGTTGTGGCTGATTCGGATTCGGATGCAGATTCTCCAGAAGCGCATCGGCGATAGCTTTTAAAGTCAATAAAAGTGGGGACCCAGTCTAGTTATTCATAGGGCCTTAGATCAACAGACTGTTATACATGAATTTCCATTTCCATAGATATCACTGCTGTTGAAAGACTGAACTCGACTTTTCATCCGTTCTCCGAACCCGTCCCTTTTTACTCTCCAACAGAACAAGGTTGGTTGTCTTCGTGCCTCCTAGCATCCTAGTAAAACCACAGCTGAAAGTCGTAGGTTCGATGGCAGAAGTATCATTCGGCAATTCTCAGAGCAGCTTGGAAGGGTTTGGCTGCACTCACAGCGAGTCAGCGACTGAGGGTATTCTTGAGCTCAGCTGGAAGAATCTTGCCTCCCAGTTCGACCTCGAGTCTAACCGCAACTATCTACGGGCTCGACCATACAAGCCAAGGCTTATCTCGAGCCAAGTTATCAGAACAAGGCGTGCTTTCCAATTCCATGACCAAATCGAGATCATGAAGCTTTCATTCCGGATGCCTTCAAACCGACAACTCAGCTCCTGCATGTTTTACCAGCTCCTCGAATAATATCCAATCACCAGAATCAACTACCGTTAGGGCTGAGCTCGTGGCGTGGGACAGCGAACACTCCAGCGGCTTTCTCCATCTGCCCAACGCAGCCACTCTCTTGGCGACACCCTCAACAACCAAAGATCTTTATTATTCCCCGCCATTCATTCTTCTTTTCATATGCCAAAGCCATTCACAGCAAAACCCATGAGTTTTTATCTCACACATAACATTTTCCTTCCCTCGCAGTTTACAACGTCTCACGCGTATTAAATGTAGCGAGATAGGGGGGTTTGGGGCTGGCACAGACCCGAAAGTGAACAATATGAGTTTTTATTGACCTTCACCGCCTGTGTGTAGCTGTCTCGCTACATTTAGTACACTTGACACTTTGTAGTTATTCAATTGAACAGGTGGAAGAGCTGAGGGTGAGCAGCTTTTTCGCTATGCCGTCTTGGTCCGTGCGGGGGTTAGCACGGACAGGATAGCACTATAAAGGGTTTAGCGTGCCAATTTTAGGTCTAGCATTACGCTTCTGGCTGGTAGATCCCCCGGCTTGAAAAAGTGGGCTGAGAAGAGTCTCGGGCAGGTATATTGAGAATGCTGAGGGTGAGCGTCTGCGGGACTTGAAGACCCGCGCCAAAGGGCTTCGGCATGGAGATATCCGCAAGAACAGCAACACCGTGAGGTGGTTCATACAGATGATTTGTTGGGTTTGAATGTGGATATCCTGAGGTGGAGGTCGAAGCAGGATGAGGCAGATGAATAAATTCTGCTTGTTGCCCTTGTGATTGAAGTTAACAGCAGCACACTACACTCGCAGTGAAGACCAACAGACAACTTCCAACAAAAAAACGAGGAGTATCAGCAATGGCATACCAAACTCAACCAGCTTACATCGTGACCTGCTCAGGCTGGGAGGAGCGTATCAAGGAACACCCCGTCTTCGACTGGATGGTACTTCTCCCCTTCCCTCCCGCGATCTCCCTTCCAAATTCTCAACTCACTTGTAAATATAGTCCGACCACGAAGTAGCCTTCGACTTCGGGGCTGCGAAGCAAGAACCCTACACTAATTGGTTCACCTCCGACTTCAGCTTCACTGACCCCGCCGGTAACTCCTTCAAGGGAGAAGAAGCCTGGGCAAAACTTCTTGAAACTTACGCTCCCTTGAGCGCACATTTCCATGAGCCGTTCTTCGGCATTGTGTTTGAGAACGAGAAAGGATATGAGCTTTTGGGATGTGCGAAGATTTTTGCCAACCTCTTGGTCACTGGTAAGCTTTCATCGAATTCTTCAAGTGGTGGTGACTTGCTGACGGGTAGCGTAGGTGAGGGAGAAAAGAGGAAGGATTTGCAGGGCAGAGAGTGGGATGTTGAGGTCCCAGGCGCGTTTCACTTCACGTATATCAAGGAGGAAGGTGCGCACAAGGGCTTGAGACTCAGCGAGGAAAAGCTGTTTGCAGATGGGTTGCCGATGGTGGCAGCTCTGCTCAAGAGGGGAATGGTTTCCGGTGAGGACTTGGTCAAGAAGCTTTCTGCTTAAGAATGGAAGATCGACGCCGTGACGAATTGGGCGTGTTGGACAAACGAACGAGGGCCGCGGGCCTAGTGATGCGGCGATCTCTGAGTGAGAGGGGCTGATGGTGATTTCCTTTGTTTTAGCTTTTACGTAGTTGTTCGTCTTTATAACGCGGCTGTGCCGTATCAATTCAATTTTTTTTCGGCCGCTTTGGAAAATCATGGCACTGCAAGTGATCAGAATGCCATCTCAGATACTGATAAAGAGATAAATGATACTTGATTCGGACTCACTGGAAAGTTCTCCATGGCAGTATCAAGCTTAATCAATGAATTGGTGTTAGGAAATAGTACACTCCGTTTAAATGCCGGTGGAGGAGTTCAAAGACAGAATCGAAGACTTCGAAGTTGGAGCTGGCGGTATCTCGAAGGTATGGAGGAGGTCCGATTTCTGCCGCATCTCACGCCTCCTGATTCGCGCCCGCACTGATTCCTGTTTTATCTGGAGACAAGCTTTGCGGATGTGTTTCGTAATTCAATACCGACTTCAAACCACTGTATCAAATAGAAAGCAGAAAAGCGTTTGCATCGTTGCACATGATGGCGCGTTTTGGTGACGCGTCTCAGCAGCCCAGCCCAATCTCGCGTTTCGCTCCTTGTCTTCACTCATACCTCTCACCTTTTTCATCATCTTCATCGCAGATCAAGCCATCTACTCAACCATTATCTTCCGAGACGCTGTTAATCATGGTCGGCGCAAACTCCATCCTCTGCAACAAGCCCGGCCGACCCTGTGCACCTTGCAAGTCCACTGCATACTGCTCCGTCGAATGTCAGCAAACGGATTGGCCTCTCCACAAGCTGCTCTGCAAGAAGTTCTCCTCATTCTCTCCTCGCCCCGATTCAGACTCGAAACTCGGCCTATACTTCCCAGTCGACTCGAAAGTCCCCGAATTGATTTGGGTCAATTGCGCAGAACTGAATGTAGAACTTCAACCTCACTTTCAGTTGTATATGGGGCGAGACATACCATATTCTGAAGAGTGGCCAATTGGGCACAGAATCTTCCGTTCCATCCAACTTGATCCCACAGTTGTCACCTATTCCCGACACAACCTCTGTAGCCCCGGCTCAGCACCCAACCTATCGATTAAAGAGGGTCACAAAGGGAATTGTGCCAGTTCAATGGGAGGGTCCTGTCGTTGTGACCGGTAAAACCGGTATCCCGGACTATGCCGAAGGGAAATTTCAAGACATCACATTGGGCGATCTTCGCATCGCAGTCGATTACTTTGTGGCACACAGTCAGATGATGGATCCTTCGATTGGGATAACGAAAAGCATGGGGACAATGTTCGGGACGGCCAAAAAGAAATCGGCAGAAGGTGTCAGGGCTAACTGCAACGGAGACCGTTTTGTCAACCATCGCCCAAAATATGAAGAAGTCACTCTCCCTCATGATCATCCCATCCACAAGGTAAAATCTACCTTACTATCACAACTTCTAGATTTGCCGATCCTCATCTGGAAATACCCTCCCGATAAAGCGTGGAAAAACATGAATGTGATACCTGGCCAGAGCGGGTACTACAATGAGCCACATGGTAATTGGGCCGCCCTCTTCATGAACGTCAACACGGATATTATGAGCGATCGATGGAGAATGCCTCCACTGTATTGGCAAACTGAGGTTGGGGGTGTGTTGATTATCCGGCAGGATGGGAAGGCCAGCACGCTGAATTCTACCTTCAGATGAAATGGGAGGCACCTCGAGTCCAAGGCGCAGAGGGAGCTGAAAATGTGCTGAAAGTGAGACGATATATCCATGAGCGTCACCTGAACAAGGCGGCATTCTTCGAGTGGTTCAGGGAATACAGGATCCTCAAAATGGATGGCGGGGAGTCCTCTTGGGCTGCCTTTTTGTCTCCTTATGATGTCTGAAGGAGGCCTTTGAAGTTGGGTATTATTGCTGACGATTATGAATTAGAGTTGGTATCTATTACCCAATTTCTATATTTCAACAAACTCTCTGATAATTGTCGCCACTACACCACGATCATACGCCGATAAGATGGGTCGGGGAATAGCGCCTCACTCTCGCTCTTCGTCTCGACAACTATTCAACACCCTTGAGTCAGTATGCACCTTCCAGTATATAGTCGAACAGAGTTGCCTCGCCACAGAATCCGAAATTATTCCTTGGGCAGTACGAACCTCAACGACCGAAGCCCAGGTCAACAAAACCACCAACTCCCACGTCTCACCAAAAGCCCCGACCTCCCTAATCCTCAGTCTCCCTCTCTTCTTCCACTTCAATAGCCCCTTCCCCAAATACTCCCCTAATATCAATTCCTCCTTCCCGTCCTCCACGAGCACCAAATCACCCTGATCATCCATCAAATTATTCCTCGTCCGTATCCAATGAAATGTCCTCCTCTCTCCACTCGGTAACTCATGCACAAACCCATATTTCATATGCGTCCAAAACCCAGTATTCTCCATCTTCTCCCAAACCATGCCCAGAGGCCTCGCCTCAAAATCGCCAATCCCAAAACTATTCGACCCTGTCAGCGGCAGATGCGCAACCCCCAAACTCTTCCCCTGCTTATCCGTCCCCTGCCTCAAAACCACACCAGGAACATGCGGAAGAAACGAGCGATGCTCTACATAATAAAAGTGTCCCGAATCTGTTAAGTGCACAGGGCAGATCCGCAAGTTCGTAATAAACGCGTTGTATACCATATACTCCATAAACTCCTCGGTATCCAGAATTCCCAGTCCATATGCCGCCGCGATGCTATCGTAATATCGTTTTTCCGGTGGCGAGTTGAGGGATTCGAATGGGTTGGCTTTCTCTTGTGCAGGTGTGGGAGCGGGGGCTGCGTCGACTTCTGGCGCGGTTTTGTCGAAGCGGTGGTCCAGACTGTGGCGGACTGGCGTTCCAGGTCGTGCAATTTCTACCTCTTGGACATCCTGCAGTGCTCTGTCTATCGCTGCGATTCTATCTCGCAGTTCTAACATTTTGCAAATATATGGGGAAAATATGTACAAAGACGAAGTGTCTTATTGCAATGTGAAGAATGGGATAGGAAAGAAAACTGGACCCCGGGAGAAGATAAATCTTATCTGATTCTAGGAAGTGCCACCCCACTTACCCCTGTCAGGGTTTCCCTTTTTATTGAAATACGTAGATGGCGTCGTTGTGCACCGGGTAAATTGTCTAGATACAGGGGATAGGCCGGGGACTCAGCCACTTTGAACTCGATTTCTGCTGGGCGATTACGCGAACACCCGACGAACGCCACATCGAGTGAGGGAATAATTCGGAAAGAAAACTCGAAGGTTCTATTGTCAAAACGCGATTTGCGAGCGAGGTATCGAAGAATTACTCAGCGGATTACATAGCAAGTTTTATCTAGAAAACTTGTCATGTTTTCCAACTTCCGCAGCGAAGCTAGGCTCATCCAGATGGCCCCCCTTTAAAGCTCGCTTAAGTGATCAATAACCATGAAGCAGGAAATGTAGCCTTCCACCCTTTATTCTCTTCCAAAATAAGGAGCTCATCGAGGACACTAGTTAATAGAAGCCGAAGGTAATTTGAATTTAGATCGGAGAAATCTGCTTACTCTAACATACTGAGCGCCTGTTTTACATGCTACGAGCGCCTCTGAAGCGAGTCATCCCAAACCTTCAATGGGGTCCTAACGCCCTGTAAATTTAGCGTCCTGTACGCTGTAAACTACACATTCTGTGTATTGTCGCTAAAATTTCGAGGCATGGATCGCGAGCATGTGCGTGCCCGGACACTATGAATTTTGATTTTGAGTTAAATCAAAGGATGATCTACAGCGAAGCGGCAACGAGATTTCAATTACGATATCCTAATAAAATGGAATTGATTCAAATTCCCAGTCTTGATAGCAAGAACACCTCTAGTTCTTCTTCTGTCCCAGAACAGTTATCGGAATCCAATTATAAACCATCCCATGCTTCGTATTCTGGAGAAGCTTAGAAAGCGTCTCCTCGTGCACCCACACCGAGATAGTCGAGTCACTTGCAACTGAGTTTCGTTCAATTCCTCGCAGAATTTCGGCGATGGCCATGAGATACGTATTGGTGCAAAGCTGTATCAAGTCGTGGTGGAACTTCTTGTTCCCGGTGTGGAGGACTTCGAAACCGTGAGATGGAAAACGGTTTGGAAGGTCCGCGACCCATCTAATAAGATGAGAAAGAGCGTCAGGTAAGACATATTTAGGGATTGGGAAGGGAAACTCACTCATATTGCAGCCCGACTTGCTTGAAAAGTTCTCTCATCATGCCAGCGAACTGCTCTGCTTCCCCGCCGCAGACTGCTTGGTTGACCAAGTCTGCGTCCTCCCATTGAATGTATCCTCCTGGCTCTGCATTTTACCATCAGTATTACTCTCAGAAAGTCGTGCATGGATCTATGCAGAATTCCTTACTCAAGAGCTTCTTCGCGTGTTCTAGCACTGGCGCCGTATCATTCTCCTTCAAGTTGCTAGCCCACATCCGCAAATGCACAACATCATACTGTCCAACAAGATTCGATGGAGGATCAATCAACGAGTCCATCACCCCCAAAATGACGTTTTCAGGCCAAAGGTGCCTTGCTGGAAACTGGCCGTCGCTGAGGTCGTAGCCGTGGAGTTCGACAGCAGGTGGGAGTTTTCTTGATGCGTCGAAAAGCCAAATTCTGGTTTGAGGTTTATTAGCATAAGCAAGCAAGCCTCTGAGGTGGTGTGATAAGATGTACCCTGTACCCGTTCCAAGTTCTGCTATTTTCATGCCTTCTGTGATAGGGATTTGTGGGTGCAAAATATGTCCGAGGTACATTCCCCAAAGCAAGTGCTGAGCGTCCAACCTAAGTTGATTTTAGTGATGGCTCTGGTGATAGACGCACTGAGGGCGGCGACTGACCGGATAGAATCGGATACGCCTCTCCCAAGCACGTAGTGATCTTCTTGAGTTGTTGAACCAATTTTCTCATTTGACGACTCCAATGGTTTAGATTAGTTTCTCAACCCAAAAGTAAGATAGAAAGAATAAGTTTTCAAGTGGTTCGATTGTTATTCTGAAGAGAGTGGTTGCAATTCAAGAGCATATTTAATCTTAATATATCAACCTGCCCGCAGTGTGTGCCCAACAATGCCTCCTACGTCAAGGAAACTTGAGATCTGGGATTTTTTCCTTCGATAACAGGAGTGTTTACCGACTCCCCGAAGTAAAACCCCGATGAATGCAGTTTTACGGGATCTCATATCATCCTCGCATGAGTTGGGACTCGCGGTGATTCGCATTGGTGGTGGCAAGATACCCAAGGGAATTGTCTCAAATTTCCTGTGATATATCACATAGATTTTTGGGGTCAGAAAAGCAACGGACACTGAGCAACATAACTGCTCGAGAACTCATACGTATGATGGAGGTGGCGGCGCCCTAAGCACGGTGGAAAGAGAAAAAGACACGAGACCCCAAGTTAGCTCGAATCGTCCATGCGATCGATCGGAAGAACGAGCTCTTCCTCCAACATTCCTCATTGGATATGGCTTCCGATAGGTCTATATGGGCTGTGGCTTTCCACATTCCAACTTCCAAGTTCCTCTGACCGGGTTGCTGGGACAAGAAACTTTTTAAATTGAGGCTTCATCTCAATGATGGTGTCATTTGGCTCTGAAACCGGCCAATGGAGCTTATTCGATTCTTCGGAAAGGGAGGGGGCGCGGGAATAATTGCTTTTTGATCGAAAGCACTTACAGTACGGAGGAATTCTGCCGGAACAATCGTTTCTGATTGACTAGTTCTGCGGCTCAGAGCTTAGTCCTGTGATCAATTGTATTTGAATATGAATTCATGAAACGACGAAAATGGGGCGGCAGAACCATACCGTCGGGTCCTCTTCACAATCCACTCACATTCGCGAGTTTACCAACATTTGTGGAAATTCGCCATGATGTGACTCATTAGATATCTCTTCACTCCACGTTCATGGCTTTACCTAATCCACACCCTTCCCTTGAGCGTCCATCTTCTCCAGAAATTTGCTCGTTACGAGATGTACAAGGGAGAAGGATGAAGCGACAGATGGGAGTTCTTGCCGAGTCTGTGAGATGAATACATGATGGAAGCGGTGTGAAAACGCCTTCTGACCATCCCCCCGCCAATATTATGCAGATCCTTACCAAATGCTTTCTGAGATCTTGAAAGACATTTCTCGTCAACGAAGACAGTTGAGAGGCCATGAGATCAAGGCTTAAGCGCTCATCAAAGGATACGATCTCAACATGCACGTCGACGCCACAGAGATCACAAGAAATAGCTTTTTCTATGCTGAGATACCTCCTGTTCGTGACTATAACATTTGAGGTATTGGAAAGTAATCGATTTATTAATGGAAAATCGATATATTGGAGGTTAACAGTCTGCGGAATAACTAAATATAAGAGAGTAAAGTCTAAAAGTAGAGGAGAAAGTATTTAAAGTAAGGGTCTTTATTTCTATTGCATTATAGCAATATTAATAATACCGAGCCCGCTTTCTCTAATATATTATAAATTAGCTAATAAATCAAAAGTAATTAAAATAACAATATACTAGTAAGTTTGGTAAGCTCGGCGAGTGACGCATGACAAATGAGAGTGGAGAACCCTAAATTAGTGGTTGAACCTGGTGCTGGAAGGACTGGTAAGCTAGTACCAATTCAACAGGAGGCTTAAGGGGGCTACAGACCTGATTCCAGCATGCATACCTCCACGGATCATTCTCTCCCCGGCGCCTCCTACGTTTATCTACATGCTTGAAACTCTCTGGAGCCCAAATTAGATCATTTATGGAGCTTCTTGGTCCCACATCAGACCATGACGGCGTCTTTACACAACAGTGATTTTAGCGAGCTTCGACTCAACAAGCAAAGACTGTGAAAGATTTTCACACCACAATGGATTCTTTCCGTCGTCAGTTCCCTGACTCCTAAACGAAAAGAATTTTTCTATCTTCAAGCCGAAACAACATCCTCCATTTCACCCCCCCATCACGCAAGACGAACTCGTTCCAAAGCTCCGCTATGCCAGTCACGTCCTTCGCTTCTATGAAAGACACCCCGGCGCCGGTGCCAAGACTGGCGGTGGCCTTACCGGCATGCAAAGACGGCTTGGAGACCACTGTCATCTTGCTCAGGAAATACAAGAGTCTCGACCACTTCGCATACGAGCGTAAAGATGTTTGGCACATTGGACTTGGCAGTCGTTCTTCCCTCCGAGCCGATCCGAAGGGGGAGACCGCATGGATTAGTGGACAGGGGAAGGAACGAAACTGCCTCATTCCTGGATTTTTGACGGATTTTGTAAAAAACTTTGTCACAGAGCAATCACAGCAACACGAAGGGCGGTTATTCGGCCAAGTCGGCTTTAACTATGGTGCTCACGTTCGAGGGCAGTCGTACACTCCAGGGCGTTGGCCGATCCTCAGTATCAGTAAGGAACCTATTTCCTGTGTCCTATATCCCGATCTCCTATTCTTACTGGCCGGAAGCATGTTTCAGTCTCCCGGCTCCCTCCTGGCTCCCTACTCTTTGAAATGATAAGTTATTAATTCCTTATAGTGGTTCCAGAACTGGAAATCACCGTGAGACCGGAGGGCATCACTGTTCAGGGATACGATGAGGAGCTTTTGACAGAAGTGTGCGACTTTCTTAGCGGTACATGTGCACCGTCTATACAAGTCAGAGATCCTCAACCAGTCAGCACTCAATGCAATGAAGAAGAGTATAAGGTCCTCGTCTCGAAAGCACTCAAAGAAATCAAAGCAGGGAAATACAGCAAGATTATCTCGTCTCGGTCCGTGGACCTCGAGAAACTGGTTGACATGCCATCAACCCTGCTTCATGGACGTCGTGCAAACAATCCAGCACGGAGCTATACACTCAATCATGGTGGCTTCCAAGCAACAGGTTTCAGTCCAGAACTTGTGATGGCTTTTCAAAAAGGCAGAGTGGTCACCGAGTAAGCAAATTCAAGCCCACTGCTCCCACTTTTATGGTTTTTTTTAAACAGCTTGACGAACAATGCAAAAGTATGGCAAACGCTGACAACTCAATCTCCCAGGCCACTAGCAGGAACATGCTCACGAGTTGGAACAAAGGACGCAATCCAAATGTTACGCCAGGAATTGATCAGCGATCCAAAGGAAATTGTTGAGCACGTAATCTCAGTCAAAGAGGTACGATTATCAATCTAAATTGATCCCGAGAGCGTGGTTCTCTGACTTTCATCTAGGCCGTATCTGAGCTCAATCAGTTCTGCGCTCCTGACACAATCTGTGTCAAGGATTTGGTGAGTTCCTTCGCCTGCTATTTACCATACTCTGTCCAGAATTCTTTCGGAATTCTAGGATTTTGAAAACCTTTCCAGTATTCAAACTCTCCTTCGAGACGGTACTGATTTACCCTTTGACAGATGACCATCAAGGATCGAGGAAGTGTTCAGCACCTCGGATCTAGTGTCCATGGACAACTTTCTTCGAAGGCAGATCCATGGACTGCTTTCAATGTCTTGTTTCCATCCATCACAGCGACTGGAATCCCGAAGGACATAGCCCTTGCGGCAATCGACCGTCTCGAAACCCGGCCGCGGGAGCTCTATTCTGGAGCAGTTCTTCTCATCGACCCAAAGGAAGACTTCTTCGAAGCTACGTTGTGTCTTCGCATAGTCCTTCAGGACTCAACCAACTCCTGGATCCAAGCTGGAGCTGGTATCATTGCTCAGTCAAATCCGGAGAGGGAACTTACTGAAACGCACGAGAAGATGGCAAGTATTGCTCCATACATCGTGTATGAGGGCAAGTAGATACTCTGCTGGCTTGCGGATATCCTTGCAATTTGGGGTTCTCTAGTTGAATGTCTGTCCGCGGCGTTGGCTTGGTATTTCTTCTCATCTTGGGTCTGATTACCTCGTTGGCCTTGATACTACATGTTTCGTTAAAAAGATTGGATTTCTTCTCGTTATGCTCTCTGAAAGTTGCTGTCTCGGCTTTGGTTTCTCTTTCTTGAGAGCTTCTATCTTAATACGAGTATGAAAATAGCAAAATTAAATTCTTATTCAAGTAATCGAAATAGCTGCCTACAGGCTACACGAACAGTACATTTAATCTTACGTAAAACAAGAACCATTTTCATACTTCAGACCCCAGTTTTTTTCCAGTGGTATCTCCCACTAGGGTCATTCAGCGCCCATCATAATAAAGCGTGTCCGCAAACTCGAACGACCGAAAAGTGTTGGAGAGCTCAGCCGGTGGTGGGATAGGTATAGTTTCAGCAGTAAATGAGGCGGAGTCCAATTCTGTTCTCTGGAGCACTTTTGGCGATGAGTTTGAGTCTTTCCTTTTTCTTTTATAAGTAATTATAAAGAAATATCGTATTTTATATCATGCTACGAGTAATTGTTACTTTTTATAAGTATTTATTATTATATACTTTACACTAATTAATTTTTGTCGTACGGGTACGGGCATAGGTACTAGGGAGCTTAGCTCAGCTTACTCAGCAGCTCCCCTTTATTTAGCTAGATACCAGATGCTCCCACAAGTTTCTAATCAGACAACCATTCATGCAAATCACTGTTCCTTACTCTTTGTAAAAAAAATAATTTGTAAAGAATCTTACCACTCATATTATAATCACGCTAACTACGAATATTCATAGGTAGTATGAGTAGTATGAGTAGTTCTTTGATACACTGGATCAGTGACACCTGCATTGCAAGCAACCTACCTGCAGGGGACATTCAATACTCCAGGCGGCCATCTATTCAAATTGAAGGACATGAGTTCATGACATCGTCAAGCGTTTCTTTCTTTCTTCCCTCTTTTTGGGGGGGGGGGGGGAAACAATGGTCTATTTGGGAATCTTCAACGCAAAAGCAGGTTTCAACTCCACCAGACAGTAAGAATTGGTCTCCCATTTCCGCACCAACATAGCGAAGACAGCTTCCAGCCTCTTTACAACCTCAATACCTACCTGGCAATGTACCGCAATTCTACCACTTGTCAACTTCACGCCACTTTTTCTTGCCCCTTCTCTCAGTGTTTGCGAATCGATTACAGCTTTCTTGAGGTCGATGATCGATCCAAACCATGTTAGTATCAACTAGATGAGCAACAGAACCACCCAGGCTTTGCCGGAATGCTTCGATACGTTGAGCAATGGCAGGAGTCCTTTTCAAAACGTTGCCCTTTCCATTTGACCCGGCCCCAAAGTTCACATCGACAGCGCTCCGGGCTGCAGCCACCAGATCTCCAGGTTGTCTCAAGGTATCAACAATAGCCTGTCTCATCCATCTCGCTAGCTCTATGAAGGCCGTTCTTCCAGCGAGAAAACTACCAAGTGGAGCCCTGGAACCATTTGAGTAGTACAACGTCATTGAATGGAAGCACCACACCTTCGACCATAGTACCTCTCAGCATAGAAACTCCTCCGGCTTCGAGACACAGGATATGTGCTCGATGACCGCTTAGAACGGAATGTGGAGGTTGAGTGAGAAGTGTTCGCAGAGCGATTTGGTTTCCTATGGCACCCGAGAGGAGAAAAACTCCGACTTTGTGGTTGTATAACTCGGCCATGTGAACTTCCAAAGATGAAGTGGTCGGGTTTTGTCCATAGCCATCGTCAAAGAGAGTTGTATTTTGGATGGCCATCAACATGGATGAGATATTGTGGAAGTTGTGATGGTATCACCTATCGACGATCAGTTTCACGTCACTTCCGAAAGTAATAATCACCAACTCCGAAAATCGAACTCCGCACTTCCAGCAGTTGACCACGCATTTTGAACCATCTCGTTCTAGTAAGAGAGAGGAATATCACTGGTGCCAGAGAGGATCAATCGAGCCCATGGTGAGGATGTGTTGCTGTATCAGCAATCCGGAGAAGTTGTGTTTCAGAAGGACCTCACAGATGTAATTCTTCGACACCATCTTTTTCTCACATCGTTAAAGTATGGAGTCATCATTTTCGAGTTTTGGGGGACGTCAGACCTGGCGCCAGGCTCCACAAGCCCCACTTTCGGCTTCCCACTGCGTTGGGTCATCTGGAGATCACCGATGCTTTATATTACGAATACGCACATCTCCATGACTCCGAGAAATGTTGTTTCTCCAAGTTGATACGTCTAGAGTATGGTAGTACAATCAAGTCACAGAAGGTGCCGCGGCTGTGAGCGTTGACAGCTGACAGTGATTGTCATGGGTGTCAGTGTATCCGGGTTGCCGGACATGTCGGGGTAACTTCTTTCCCGAAGGACCTCGAACGAAACAGTAGGTTTGCTGTTTGATCAATCACGAGAAAGTTTCTTCTTTTTCCGGGTCTTTCCAGAAGTAGAGACGTTCGCTCTCAGACCTCGTTCAAGGATCATCCATCGAGTAATTGCGTCAACAGAATCGTTGCACAAATGCCTACCAGTCAATGCATCAACGTTTAGTCGCTTGCGAATCTAGCTCCTTGCGAGGAAAGTTTCAAAATGAAATCTTCCGATTCGTGGTGGCACATACAAGGGGTTAACAACGTGTTGGTAGGAGCCTAATGCCGTTCTGTGCTCAATATTGCCCCACCATGTTTCGTCTCAAGCCACACTACCAGGAGGCTTGGATCTTATTTGCTTATTCTCCGATTAGAATCAATGACGAAGTTTTGATCTTCACAGTTCACTCCTCTGTGCTTCATATATCATCCTGAAGTTCTTGGTGGAGAGGGCAACAGAATTCTCTTCCTTACCATCAATAAGCCCCAAAATGGTCAATACTGGAAAGCCCTCACAAGGTTGTGGAACATGCAGAGCACGACGTATCAAGGTAGTTATACTCTGGTTATCCTGCTCTAATCGAAGCTAATCGGGCACGTGCAGTGCGATGAGCGAAAGCCAACATGCTTCCGCTGTCAAAAGTCCAAACGCGAGTGCACAGGATACAGGAACCAGCTCTTCCTGCGAAGGCTTGGAAGTGGAAAAGGGGATATAATCAACTGGAGTCAATTGCCAAGCGCGGGCAATATGGATCTCTACCAGAGCGACTGGTCCAATTCTATCACCAATGTTACCTACCGATCCGTTTCGCCCCCCGAAACAATCATCCTCGCTCCACCAACGTACGGGATATCAACATCGATCGAAGAGGAAGCTCTGTGTCATTTCATCAATAGTTTCGTTTTATTGCCGTGCAAGGGAAACTCTAGGAGCTACATGGATTTCATTATCCCGGCAATGAAGGCTGAGAAGTCACTCATCTCGCCGGGGACTTCGTTAAATACAGCGGTCATGGCTGTGGCCATGGCTGCATTTGGAAATAGGCGGAGATACCAATTGGTGCTTGCTAAAGCTGCGAGGCAATATGCTAAAGCGTTGAAACAAGTCAACGAAGCGTTGCTAGACCCTGAACTTGCATTAGAGGACCAGACACTTGCAACGGTCCTCATTCTGGGGGTCTTTGAGGTGACTATTACACAACTATAATCTTGTTGCGGGGCTAATGGGAAACATAGGCATTTACTGGTACTAACACACTGCTAAATGGATGGTCTTCACATGCCGAGGGTGCTGCAATGTTGGTCAAAATGAGAGCACAGAGGAAACTTCTTTCTCCACTGGGACGTGTTCTCCACATTATGGCTCGTTCACAACTGGTTCGTCTTTGGGTGATCATTTCAGGGTTGTACACTAACACCGCTAGATCGTTAACTGCTTTGTTTCTTCCACTCCGCCACCTCTTGGTGTTGGGTGGTGGATGCAATTGGGCACTAAAGACGGATTACCCTGCCAGGTCGCAAGACTAAATCTCGAAACTGCAACATTACACGCCAAAGCCAATGACGTTCTTGCAGAAGCGGCGATGAACCCTTCCAATACTGACAGCATAATCGAGGTCCAGACAATGGCTCAAGATCTTGAAACGAAATTTAGAGACTGGGAGCTCTCACAGACCCCAGAGTGGTCTTTTTCTTCAGTTGCATGGGTTGATGAGGTCGACGTGAGTCGACTTGAACACAGCCCTTCCTTTCCCGGGAGACTTGATGAGTATAAAGACATCTCGATCGCAACTGCGTGGTGTATAATGCGCTCGAATCGAATAATGCTCGGCGCAGGAATAGTTCGTGCCAACGCTTGGTTGCACCCGGACGAGGATTATCGCATCACTCCTGAGTATGCATCAACGGCACGAATTTCCAAAAACTTGATAGAAGATATCATTGCGGCTGTCCCTATTTTCTTGGGAAATTTCCCTGAAGCTTTCACAAGAAACCGCACCCCCGAGATTGAGAAAGACGCCTTGGGAGGAAAGAGTTCTTTGGCGCTTTTCATCATGTGGCCGTTGTTCATAGTAACGATATCGGATCACACCACCGAGGACCAACGGAAATGGGCACTGGGAAGACTCAAATTGATTGCAGAGGAAGTAGGAATCCGCCAGGCTTCACTGTTCACTCAGGTACGCTTCTTTCACGTCTCCCCATCCACCCTCTAAAAAAAACGAGAAAATTGGATTCAGAGACCGACTAACGGGGACGAAGCTTACTATTCGTGTACCCTCCATGTTCATTTACAAAGATCGAGTGGCGAAGGAGGAAGGCAACGCGATGGCGAAAGTGAAGTGTCTAAAGATGGCACTCGCGAAGTCGAAAGGGATCGGAAAAGACGCAGAGCATGTTTTAGCTGGTATTCTTGGCTGTAAATAGATATTACCCCTTTGAAATTACGAAGAACTATATTACTATATAGATGAATTTGCTTCAGCTCTTCCTCACCTTCGCTTTCTTCCGTCACGAAAGGTGAATCGCAAATGAGTTTGACGTTTCGATGGACTTCGGTTCGTAGAGAATCCAGTGGTATGCACTCCCTATATTTCGCACGGGGACTGCTTGCGGACAGCTGAGCCTGTGGACCGCCGCGAGTCCAGGCAGACCACCGTCTTTAGACTAGCCAGGCGGGCGCATAATTATCGAATATCACATCTGCATACGATAGAGCAGAAATATTCAATGGATGTTAATGTGGTCTTAATGTCACTTGTATTACACTAATTTGACGCGAAGGAAATAAACCTTTTTGCAACTTTTGAGTGCTTGGGGTCAGGGAGAACGCTAAGCGAGCCCCTTTTCGACACCACACCTTAGGAACCGCAAAAGCGACATCTTTTTAATTTAATAATATGTAGCTCTTTAGCACAAACAGCTTCTAATCCGTCCTAACCGCTTGGGATTTTACAAGGCGCACGGGGAAGATCACGTGCACCACCTTACAAGGCGAGGGATCCCGGTAACAATGAGTCCAGACCTGGAATACTCCGGACCTGATAACTCATGATCCTTCGGGCGCACTTTCAGCTCGCTTGGCAAGTTAACACAAAACCAATCATTGCCACACGACGGCAAATTGTAGAGTAATATCTCTCTCCCTGGCAGCCGCCTTTTGCAAGCCCTACCGCAGTGGCACCGCACTGCTTACATTTTCACAAATGAAGAAGTAGATCCTCAGCTGACGTGGGTTCAAATTGTCGGATACCTCCAAAATGCTTACTTTCTCCCTATTCTAGTCATTATCTGGTCATTATCGGACTTAGCACCGCCCCAAATGCACAAGGACATTTAGACCATTGGTGCCAATAGGCTGCTACGTACGACGTCTGCAGGTGCCACGACGGAAGATCCGACAAGTACGGACCAGCTCGGTGGAGGCGCGATTCACAAGGGCTTCTTAAATTCAGACTAGCCCCTTTTTCAGAGCCCCTAAATTCTCGTCTTCGCACTGCTTTCTTCGTCTTTGCTTCCCCGCACCGAGCAACGTAGCCAACCTTCAACCATGACAGCTCCTCTCCAAACCGAATGGTGGGGTGCCATCCCTCCAGCACCCCGACATGCAATCACGTTTCACATGCCGCTTTGGAGCAACATGCTTCGATTCAGGGACAAAGATCCTGAGATCCTCATGAAGTTCACGAGCATGTACCCACGAATGATGCCACATAAGGATGTGAAAGAGGTGCCAAGATTCCACCACACCCTCTTTTCCCCTCCTCCGCATTCCCTTCCCTACCCCCCCTTTTTAATTTTTAGCTAACCCGAATCACAGCTCATGGCCAAAATCCTCTCAGTAGCAAAGACCGATGGCCAAGCATGCATCCCCTTCACCACCGCCGTATCTGCATCCGAATGCGTGAAATTCGCAACCTCTCCATCTCGCAAAGCAGAAGCGCTGTCACCTGACCAGCTCTCGATTCGCATCTTTGATGTTGCGAACCTCGTGAGGCTGTACGTGGTCTTTCTCCCAGCGCAGGAGAACATGGTTGCGTGGCCGTTTTGGATGAATGCTGGCGTTGGAATTTCGTCAAGATGGGCGGAGGATTGCGTCAAGCACGGTGAGGGGCTGAGGGAGGCGACGGAGAGCGAGCCGGCGCCGGTGGTGGTGGAGTGCGAGGCGCAGGGGGTGTTGCGGGAGAGGATTGCGGGGTTGATGGAACGGGTGAGATTTTCTAACTTTGAATTAGAGTAGAAGGAGCCTGTGAAGTATGAAGTAGTGCTGACTTGATAGGCCCCTGCTGGCCCGCCACGGAAGGCAAAGGTCACACCAGACGATGTGTATCTCTACCAGACAGGGATGGCATCTATCTACTCAGTCCATCAATACCTTCTCTCAGTCTACAACGCCAAGTCCGTCCTCTTCGGATTCGCATTCCATTCAACGCCACACGTTCTGGAAGATTTTGGACCAGGCTTCAAATTCCTCGGTAATGGAACGCCCGAGGAAATCGATGAGCTAGAGCAGTATCTGAAAGAAGAAGCCAAAGAAGGAAGGAAGATCCAGGCCGTTTGGCTCGAGTTCCCATCAAACCCCAACCTTTCAACACCAGATATCGGCAGGCTACGGAAACTAGCAGACGGCTATGGCTTCCTCTTGCTCATAGATGACACGCTTGGAAGCTTCTGCAATGTCGATGTCCTTGAAGTCGCTGATATTGTTCTCACCTCACTTACGAAGTCGTTCTCTGGATATGCGGACGTCATGGCTGCGAGCGCGGTGCTGAATCCTTCTTCCGCGCGGTATCCAGAGCTTAAGGCACTCTTCAAGAAGTTCTATACCAACCAGTTCTACAACGGCGACGCCGAAGCGCTGGAGAAGAATAGCAGGGATTACATGTCCAGATCCGCGACTCTGAACAACAATGCTTTGCGATTAGTTGAGTTCTTGCAAACGCTTGCTGAAGATCCCAAGAGCAGTGTAGCGAAAGTGTTTTATCCCACTACGCTGCCGTCTCTCCCTTGCTACAAGGAGCGAATGCGTTCAGCGACTGAGGACTTCACGCCTGGATATGGCTGTCTCTTCAGCGTCGAGCTGGACACTCTCGAAGCAACTGCAGCCTTCTACGATAATCTGAATCTGCACAAGGGACCTCATCTTGGTGCTCCTTTGACACTTATCATACCGTATGTGATGGCACTTTATGGGAAGGAGTTGGACAAGATGGCAGATTATGGGATGAATGAGAAGCAGATTAGGGTTGCTGTGGGGTTGGAGAATACGGATACTTTGATTGAGGAGTTTAGGATTGCAATTAAGGCGGCGGATGGGGCGAAGAAGAATACTTTTGTATCTCTTACTTGATAGAGGGGCATGGGCGCAATAGTTTGGGTGCGACAGACATCCCCAGATATACCCATCTTCCCAAGATAAGCAAGCACCAGTGACTTTTCAAAACCTGAGATAGTCATCTTGATTCTTGAACTACAAGAACGATGCTTGCCACGTAAAGCACCGGATGGTGGGCTTCTAAGATGTGCGCGTGCATAACCGCCGGTTTCCATTCCCTACCGATTACGGTGTCTAATCAACGACTCAATTCCATCCTTGCTCCAACTCGTATATCAACCCGTACATATATCTCGCAGGTTCGGCTAGGCGATGTTCAGCAGGCACTTCCCAGTTCGCAGGGGATTCCTAGTCATTGGGACCCAATACAAAGTAGGTTGGTAGAGCTTTCGAAAGGGGATCCTCATCGCAGTGAACTTGATGATCTGGTGTCGAATTGTACATCAAGTCGACGAAGTTGCAGCCCGCCTTGTGCTGAGTGGTAGTCCATAATCTCTACTATGTCTCTCCTCGATTTTTGACGTGGTCAGGCTGAGGATTACAACAGATTAGATATGGGCGATTCGATCTACGCCCTGGCAGCTTTAGCGCGAAATGCCGCCACGGCGGCATTGAACCTCACCTCACCTTTCCCATCCTCTCATCCAACAAACTCGATCGCTCCTGCACAGTCGCATATATATCCCTGGCTTCAAACGCCATCGCAACAATGACGACACCGATGCTACTGGTACAGGACAGCCCATGCGATTGCAGGCGCCCCCTGCTCAGATGATCGCTGTTTCCCCGCGCTCTGAACAAAGGGTTTCATTCCGGTGGCCGAATGAGCACGCGGACTTTGACCCAAGAAAACCTGAGAAGGCTATCAGGTGACAGATGTCGCCGTGGATCCAGCAGGGCGAAGATCGTGCCCGCTCCTACTATAGGGCCGGCCGTGCCTGCTTGCAAGTGCTGGCTGGTCTCCTGTTCGCGCATCGAATTTGTCGACGAGGAAAGCGCGACTTGGCTGCATCTTCTGACCTCACACCTTCCAAGTCCAGCACCAGGCCAAGTTATTGAGACACCACAAGATGACTCCTCTTGGCTGGCTCTTGGCTGACTCTTGGCTCCTCTCATCTCTTATATTCTTGCCCATTTCCTCCAAGTCACACTCACTGTCTCTGCTTTCTTTCCCTATACCGCCCCTACAGTAAGACATCATACTCACTCTGCAGAAATTAATGTCAGTCGTTCTCACCACCTGCATCTCTTCGAATAAACGTCAGCAGCAATGTCGAAGCTCGCACGCGACACGAAGGCAATGGCAGATATGGCGGAGGGGATGGCCAACGGCCATGGAGGAAGCTTCATGGAGCACAGGACTCGAAGAGAACGGAAATTCGATGAAGTAGAGAGCGGTTTACCCAACATCAAGATGACCCCCGCCTTCGAACGCCGTCTCAGTATAGCTACAAGGCTCCTCTCATACCTAGGCCCTCACAACCCTGCCCCTCATCCGATCACGGCGAATGATGAAGTATGGCTCTTCGACAACACCGCATATCGATCCGTGGACAATCAGTGGCGGGCAGAGTTTGTTACGGCGGAATTTGATCAGAGGACAGGACAGGAAGTGAGCAGTGCGGTTGCGGATGTGGCGGAGAATATTGGCCTTGCAAAGGATGATGCTGCAGAAGCTACAATCCAAGAACGGCTTATGCCATTTGTACAGGCGGTGTTGCCAGGGCGAGTTGTTCGCACAGACTTTGGGGGTAGAAAAGAGCTGAAGCTTGGACCGGGGGGCAGAAATGGCATCAGCAGCGACAACAGAGGACTTCCCGAGTTTAGAAATGGAGAGATTGTCTCTAGCGTGGCAAAAGTGCCAACAGGAACGACTGGGATCCTCAAAATGAATACAGTGTTTGCAGAGTCTGAGGGCTGGGGTCTGATTTCTGGTTACAACATACCTCCAAGAATTTTACAGACTCGCTAACAAGGTTCTGTAGACGTTGACGACACGATTAAGGTTACAATGACCTCAGATCCTATTGGTATCCTACGCTCAACCTTCGTCTCCGAAGCCACTCCCGTACAAGGCATGCCCGAGCTTTACTCCTTTATACAAACAACGCTATCTCCGTCGGCGCCATTCTTCTACCTCTCCGCATCGCCCTACAATCTCTACATGTTTCTCCGTAATTTCCGTGAAAAATTCTACCCTGAGGGAACTATAATCCTCCGAGATGCAAATTGGATGAACCTCTCCGGCCTACTCTCGAACCTCACTCTCGGTACTGAAGCCTACAAAGTTGATCGAATGGAGAAGATCAACTCATGGTTGCCCAAACGAAAGATGATTTGCATTGGTGACTCTACTCAAACTGACCCTGAAGCGTACGGCGAAATGTGAGTTATCTCTTCCAAACTACTACTCACACTGCTAACCTGAGCTGCAGATATCGCAATCATGATGGCTGGGTTAGGTTAATCCTCATTCGCAAGGTCACAGATATCGCCGCCGTTGGACTCCAAGAGAAGAATGATCCGGAACGCTTCGAAACAGCGTTCAAAGGAATTCCTTCCGATGCCTGGCACGTTTTCGAGACGGCTGAGGAGTGCTACCAGATTATTAAGGACGTCGTTGCGAGGAATCCTTGAAGGAACCTTGTTTATGGGCATGATTTAAGTTGTAGCCTTACTAGTGTCTAAGGAGGGCGGGCCGGTCCCCAGGCCCAATTTTGGGTCCCCAAATTTGTGGGGAACTTGACAGCGGACCGGACCGGGGACCCCAATACGGGAAGAAGAGTCTAGGTGCAGAAACCACAGTGTATGAATGCCTAGATGGCAGGCTGGGACTGTCTCCCAGCAGACTCACAGATCATACAGAATTGATTTAATCGCCCTTTATGCCCCTTCGCTCTAAGTGTTGCTCAGGTGACCTTACGTCAACCACTGTTCAGCGTCCCGTGACCGTCACCCATCACGCGTCGTTTTTCGTACAGATCCCACCCATGAATTGTTAAATTAAAGCATCTACGAAGAGCCGTCAGTTCACATACAAAGAATTCCGAGTGAGTGTTCGGTGAACAAGTTGAGAAAGCCGAGGTTCGCGCCGACCCGCTCCCAAACTCAGAATTGCCCGAGCACTTACAGGCGGTTAGCACTAGAACACAGCAAAACGCCTATCAAGAAGCCCAACGAGGCGCCTGTGGCGTTGTATTGGCATCTATTTTGGGCGTCAAAGAGGGCCGTGCAGGCTGTTCCAGGATTGTGCCGGGGGTGGCGGGGTAACCCAACCACCCCGTTTTACAGCACTTGGTTCCTGGATTCTTCCTTTGCACAAGACACCACACTACAAGCCCTCAGTAAGGTCTTCGCTACCAAATATCGAAGCATTCAATGGGTCCTGGGTGGTAAAGTTCATCTGTTACTTCTCGATGTACGCTAGCTGACCTGATCATCTAGTTTATTCGATTTGTTGCCGGGAGAAGTGGTCGATATTGTGGACTATGCATTTAACCACCACAAAGAGACGAGTCGAGCACCGAAGCTGGCTGTCAATGCTAGCTCCTGGTGGTATGCCAATATGACGGCTGCTGCAGCGCAGACTGTTCGAGACAGTCGGTTCCTCTGCCCTTTCCCCAAGAGATCCCGTGATGCTGACAAGTTGCTCATCAGGATCCGGTGTAAATGCCAACCCAATCGAGAAAAACATTTTATTCTATGCCCTACAAATCTTGAATTTGGGAATCGAAGTGCACTTCGTTTTTGATGGGGGGAAACGCCTGAGTAACGGAGGGAAATTATATCCAGGCCACGATCCGCCTTCTCAGCTCTTCCGAGACACCCTTACAAATATCGGACTCCCTTGGCACCAAGCTCCTGCTGAAGCAGAGGCCGAATGCGCGAAGATGGAAACGGAAGGAGTTGTTGATGGGGTATGGTCCGAGGATGGTGATGCGCTGGCTTTCGGTTGCAAAACTCTCATCAGGTTCCAGCCAAAAGTGGTGTCCTCCACGGAGAATGGCGAAGACGTGCGAAAGAGTAAAACACACTTCAAAATCTACAAACTGGATAATCTTAAAAGTCAACATCCGGGCATGGACCGAGAGGGGTTCATCCTACATGCGATTTTGAATGGTCATCCGAAGGACGTTGGGGAGCTGTACGATCTTGGACCGCAGGACGTGCTCAATGCCGCCGAGTCGGGCCTTGGAAAGTCTTTGTGCGCGGCTTCAACCACTCAAGAGAATATGAAGCAATGGGCAACAACAGACTTCGCTAGGTATCTGAAAGATACGAGAAGAAACCTCGATATTCCGCCAGACTTTCCGAAATGGGAGCATGTCCAAGATTACCTCAACCCAGTCGTATCGGCCCCAGTAGTATTTTCAAAGCTTCCGCAAGCACAAAATCCCTTTTGGAATGAAAAGGACTTGTTCACATTTCTGGTTGACAAGTTTCAATGGACTATCACGCAGTGGGTGAAGTACGTCGTACCTGTACGAATCGTTCGGGCTCTGCTTGCAACTGAGGAGGGGGGAGCAAGCCAGCACGATTATCTGAAGCTAAAGTGTGACCTGCTAAAGAAGCCGACCCCGAGAAAAAATCAGAGCTCGCAGAAGAATCAGATCACGAAAAAGGTGAAAGCGACTTTCTTACTCTGCAAGGCGACCTCGCTGGATACCACAAAACTTGGAACCACAGAATCCTCGAGGAGGGAGTTCGAAACTCTATCGTGGATCATTCTAAAAGCTAATTTCAATGGGCAGCGACCCATAACCTCTTTCTTGCTCTCACCCGACTCAGCTCGAAAAGGCAAAGCTGTAGCTTCAACGCCAGGCTCCGGAAGGCCGGGGCCTAGCGGGACACCCCTCACACCACCATCCGCCTCGCCATCTAGCTCAAACGGAGAAGGTTCATCAGAGCGACGTGAGAGGATGAGGCGCAGTCAGAACCCGCCCCTCAGTCCAACACCTACCAGCAGAAAACGCAAACGCGCAGTACCGTTTGCTATGGCAAGGGCCACAAAAAATATCTCAAGAGCACCCACAAAGAATAAGGAACCTAAAATCTCATCTACACAGGCGAATGATATTGGCAAGGGCAAAGTCAAGGAGATTCCGGATTCGTCAAACATGAGAGCAAACGCAAAAAGAGCTCGATTACAGCCAACCTCTCCCCAAGACTCCGGTGAGGATCTCTCTGGTGACCTCGAGAAGAGGCCAAAGTTGGTTGTGGAACAGCATCCATCAACACCACCTGCGCAAATCACAAAGCCAGCAGACGCCATCAACAACATCATAGTCATCGACTCGGACTCAGATGATGATGTATTCGGCAGCTTCCCACCAGTGGCTGCGGAACAGCTCCTATCAACACCACCTGCCAAGAGAACAGCAGATGCTGACAAAGATTTTATAATGCTTGATTCGGACGAGGATGAAAGCGAGGATGATTATGGCAGCTTCCCGTCTGTGTCTCAATTACCTCCTATACTTGGGAATATGCCCGCGAAGATTGTTCCGGATGGTGGCATTGTTGACGACTCCTCTGGCGATGAGTATGGCAGTTTCCCGGCTTCGCCTGATCTCCGCGCTTTACCGTGAAGGTTGTTCTCGACATTCTGCCCTTGGAAGTAACTCGGCGTATGACGCCCGAATTCTTCATACCACGGGCGATTCTTGGGGAAACGTTCTAGTGGGCAGCTGGTGTTCAGGCTCGAGATTCGTGATATCCCACCCCCATGGAGTTGATTCCATTTATTTCGTTCGCGGGCGCCTTTAGATACAGGAGTTATGCAGAATAGATATGATACTCTGAAACCTTAAACCTGAGGCGATTGCACAAAGGGAAAATCGTTGCTATTTCTTGACCAGTCGGATAGTTTGTTGTTTCGCGCCAATCCTCACCTCACTTTGCGTGCGCGCGACCCACGACCCACGTGACCCCTCGCCGCTCTGCACACCCTCGCTTCACCTCAACCTCATCCATCCTCACTGGCCTTCTTATGCACACCCCACCGCCTCATCTCTGTTCGCCCGTCTTGCCTGGAATGTGCCCATTACTAGTCGCGCCGCCGTCGAGAGCGTCAACCCCTGGCGAGAAGGATTTAGGGGAGCTAGAACGGGCTCCAGGGGCCGCAATAGGCTCCTGATATGAGAATAGGCTCCCGGCCTGACTATCCTCGTATCATATATTATTAATGCTGTTATAGAGGTGTAGTTGGAATTCTGCCTTGCAATATACACCTGATTCTACTCTCTGCCGCGATTCTTCCTCTTAGGTTCTCTTCCCTCGCCCGCTCTCCTTGCTATTTTACACTGAGACTTTCAATAACGCCTCTATTAGAGTCTGTATTAGCATAGATAGCATAAGCTGGGTTAATGGCAGCCCCCCAAAAACTGAGTGCTAACAGATACTCGTTCGGCCGGGCTCACCTGGTTCTCGCTTAGCACGCTTACCAGGTAAGGGAGGGCAATACGTAAAAACCAGCAATACGCAAATTTTTCCCCGCCCCCCCACCATCGACTTTTTAACCCACCAAAATGCCACCCAAAGCAGAAGCTATTGAAGAGCGAATTGCTAAGGCCTCTGAGGCTGTGGATCGAGATCCTAGGCTTAAAGGAACGAAGGCTATAGTCTATTTTGGGGCCCCGTATAATCGATTAATGGCCCGGCGAAGGGGTCGTCCTGCAAGCAACTCTCGGGGTAGATATAATAAAAAACTCTTAGTATTATAAGATAAGTCTTTAAGAGATTATCTCTTAATACTCTATATCTCCGGGCGAAGTCCTAATCTGGAAGCGATTTAAATAGATACCTCTAGGCTAGTTTATTATAATACTAGTAATATTGATTTCTCTATATCTCGCAGATAAATAAAAGCCTGGATTACCTATAATTACGAATTTCTAAAGCAAATTCGAGAGAAACCAATATCTATAAAACGTCTGAATATATATATTATAGAGAATATTAAGGAGTATTTTGCCAATTTTAATAAGTATAAGAGAAAATGAAGTATTTATATAGAGAATATATCTAATTTTAACGAGAATAGCTTCCAAATTAGAATAGTAACGGGAAATATTATATATATACTACTGGATTATAAAGTAATATATAATACCGATCCAGATAATCGAGAATTAGTTATAGTTATAGCTATAATTAATTACGGTAAAAGGAAGGTTCCTATATATATTATTTTTAAGGAAGTATACTATCTTTATAAATATTTTCTATAGATACTTAATAGTAATATTAAATTTATATACTTTCCTACTAGTTTTATAAATAATTGCCTGAGTTTATAATATCTCAAGTACTTTATTAAGTACTATCCTCTTTTATAAACAGGTACTTATAGGATCTTGATTTTCAATAGATATAGTTCTTATTTATCTAACGAATTTTTATATTTCTACTAGAAGAATCGCATTTAACTATTTAGATTACCTATATATATAACTTATCTTCTTTAATTACTTAACGTTATTATCTTCTAATCTTTAAAATACTGGTTTTAAAAGAAGCTTTATCGAGAGATTTTTAATAGTATAGAGAAGTTTAATAAGATAGACTTTTTTGTGATTTTCTAGAGATTTTAGGATAGGGTTTTCAAGAGCCGGTATATTATAATCTCTTCCTTTGAGAAAACTGGATTAATATCCCTTAATTTACTCAGAGTTCTATAGAAAATAAAAGAGTATAAAGAGCTTTTAAAGTATCTGCGAACTCTAACTCCTCCTCTATAGTACTCTTTACCAATTTTACTTTCTTCTCCTGGTTTTACTACCCTGCCACCCCGTACTTCTACCTATAAAGACTGGGCAGATTGGCCTATATTATTAATATTATATATATGAAAACGAGGCATTAATTATATTAAAAATTATATAATATAATTAATAAATAGTATACCTATTACTCTTTCGGTTTTATATATATAAGAGAAGGTAGAAGCGGTATTAGAGAGGTTAATTTTAGCTGGTACTCTCGCTAGATAAAGGGTACTAGATCTGGGCCTTGCAGAGAAGGAGCGTTTAGCTAGGAAAGAAGGAGCTAGTAAGATTATTCAGAAATATGGGAAGATTACTATAAAGCAAGGAAGAAAGGATATTAAGGCAGATAATATGGATAAAGCTCGGGTAGTTAATATGAGGTATGCTAGGCTAAATAAGCCTTGGAGAAATAAGTATAAAAAAATAATGCAAAGGTTTGAAGCTAATTACTGGGATATAATTAATTAGAAAATAAAGGCTATTAATTATGATTTATAGGAAAAATAGGGGTTATGGTGGGCTAAAACTCTATGGTTCTATATATATAGGGAAAAATTTGCGTATTGCTGGTTTTTACGTATTGCCCTCCCTTACTTGGTAAGCGTACTAAGCGAGAACCAGGTGAGCCCGGCCGAACGAGTAATCCCTCTAATTCTTTCGCTTATACTCGCTGTTACGAGTACAAGATCTAGGGCCTGGAAGACAAGGTTAGACTGTTTCTATTCCAATGATTCAAAGCTAAAGAAGAGAAGAGGATCTCGAAGGAGCCTCGGATCTAAATAATCGCGAGCTATGTACGGACCCACGTGCTAGCTTAAGCTCGTGATACGTGACCTCGACTTATGCCTCCCGACTCGACTTCGTATGCCTAGCTAGTTTTAGTCTAATCCCTACTAGTATCGCATATCGTAATAACCATAATATTACCCCCTCCCTCGAAATAAGCTCGTCCCCAAGCTTTAAAAGTCCCTATTGAATTCTCAAGTCGCAGGTCACATGTCAAAGGCCAGGGGCCTTTTGTACGTGACTTGAAGGATTTCCGTCTGTCGTATACGGTTCCGGTAGTATATTGTTCCTGGTATAGTCTAACTAGTAAGGAAGATTCTAGGGCGGTTCTAGCTATTCGGGGTTCTTGTTATAAAAGTCCTAAAGAGCCAGGGAACTATTACTTAACGAGGATACTAGATACTATTTTTTTTACTAAACTCGGTACTTGAGCTTTCTATAAAACAGCTTTACTACTAGTATTTCTTAAACTTCGTATTCCGTTTCCCTGTCTTATAGTTCTAATAGTAGAGGCTCCGGATTTACTTATCCGGAAAAGAAATTATCTAGATCTTTATATAACTTCTTTATATAAAATACCGGATATATTCTTATTAATTCCGGAAACTTAAACCTAAAGAAATATCCGACTTATTTCAGGATTTCATATAGTTCTTCTATTTAGTAAACTAGCTTGCGGCTCGGGTAATTATTTTTTTAGTACTTAATAATAATTTATATCTTATTTCCTATTTTAAAATCTATTAGTTAGTAGTACTTATTAGCTTAAATAGTATAATATACTTATATTTGTATTATATTCTCTTATATCTTTTATTATAATTTATAAAGCTATATTACTAGAGCCTTTACTTTTTATCTATTTAGCTCTTTTTTCGGAATATCTAATTATACTTGGGTTTCCTAATTAAATAATATTCGCGATTTATAGCCCTTTTTTATAAGAAACGGGAACTAGGCCGTAATTTCGTAAACTAGAGCTATTTATTAGTAATTAATTATTAATACTTATTTATCTTAATTATTCAAGTAATAATTCATATAAGAATATAGCTATTAGTTGAAATACTAGTTAATAATCTCTATCTAGCTATTAGTTTAGGAATAGTTAATAGTTAATAGCTTAAACTTTATCTAATATACTTATAAAACTTGCTTTAAAAATCTAATATAAACTAGAAGCCTTAATTAAATATTATAATTCCGAGATATTAACTTAATAAATTATATAAATAAGAAATAGAAGTACTAATTCTTAGCTATAACTATATCTCAAATAAGAATTATAATAAGGTATTTACTTAGATAATTAATAAAGATTACTATTATATTATATTTATTTTTATTCTCTAGATATTTCTCGAAATCTACTAATATATACTATTAAGAGTAGTTAGAAACTAGTAAGAGATATAAGAGACTTAATTTCTTATTTCTAGAAATATAGAATTATTAGTAAATATAGTAATTATTCCTATATTAATTAATATTTATATCCTGGCCTAGCTAGTAATAGCAGGCCTAAAGAAGCTATTAAAGCTTGACTTATCTTAGGTATTTTATTAGGGGCTATATATATTCCTCTTAAATAAGAGTAATATATAAGAATATCTCGGGTATTATTATACTATTAAATATAAATAGCTTATTATATTATAAGAAAAATCCGTCTTATAATATTTAAGTGCCTTTTTTCTTATTTCTTGTCTTATTTTATAGCTTTTCTAGCTTTAGTAACTTTTAGTTCTCGCGTAATAACTTATTTATAAGCTAGATATTATTATATTAGGCTTTTTTCTGAACCGGACTTACTAAAGCCTTAATTAGAGCTAACTAGAAATCCCGTATAATATTATTATTAATCTTTTATTATAAGAGAAGAATTTGGGTTTAATAGGTTACTATTACCTTATTCTAGGTAGCTATATTCTTGTATTTCTTGTTTAGGGCATTTGCTTATTTATTTGACTTATTTACTTAATATATAAGCTTAAAATAGTAGTAAGAAAAATACTTTACCTAATAAGCTTGTTTTATTAAGAGCTTTTTAGTAATTATAAAGTACTTAAAAGCTCGATAATTTGAGTAAATTATAAAGAGTACCTTTTATAGGCCTTTTAGCTTTATTTATTATTTAATTAAAAAAAGAATAATAGCAAGTATTTCTTTATTATAAATATTATAATTTAGTATTACTAATTATATAGTTTTAAAGAAAAATACTACCGGATATTAGAATTTTATTTAAGAATTTTATTATAAG